AACGCAGAAATGAAATGGATAATCCGGTTAAAAACTCACATTAAGGGTCTAAATAAGGACTTAGGCTCTACATGTGATTATGCCTTCATACGCAATATTTTTCTATGAATACAGAATCTAACTATATATGCTATATATTATTTTTACTTATGTACATTTTGTTTATATTCATTGATTTCTAAACTGTATTTTATTTGTCATCATGATATCATACGTTATATTATTTTAACTCATGCATATACCTTATATTTCTGCTATTTATTTTGATTCTATTCCACAATTGTTTTAATTATATAGGACCTTATTACTGTCTCTTATACACATCTAGATGTGTATAAGAGACAGGTTAAGTGTCCCCTGCATAGCGGTGTCCCGAAGGAGGGGTTCTACTTTATGCAATATACAGTATCCAAGGGTGGATGAGCTTTTCAGAAGTCATGCCTGAGCATTACATGCTCTTTCAGAGTAGGATTAGTATGTCTTTAAGGTTAGATTAATATTACTTTCTTAATTGAAAACCCATGTTTTCAACCTATGCACATGTATTATAAATAGGGTTTACTCGTTATTTCTCCTAATCCTTCCACAACAGTAACACAATGCCAGAATGCCGACTTCACATTGTCAAAACCCAGTTTAAGCATATGTCAAATTGCTTCCTCAGAAATCCAAAACCCCAATTTTTGCCAAAATGCAAGGACAGCATATGCAGTAAAGTAACAATTTTTTTGGGATAGACCCTGGATCCCCTCTCTATCACCTCATTCTCCCCGCTTGTTTAGGCTTTTGACTTTCCTCAAATTAGTAAACATAGGCTCCCAGTGGGATCGTGTGTCATGACCTATGTTTTACTGTTACAGGTATTATGTTTAAATAAAGTATCTACATGGGTATTTGGTTATTAGAAAATGTGTGGTGTTGTTCTGTAGTAACTTTTTGGTAAACTTTCTAGGAGGTCTTATCCAGCTTCCTAGAATTGCTTCTCCTGTGTGTACAGTAAGAATGGCCCGGAAAAAATAGCCCTGGAAAAAATGGCCCCGGTAAAAATGGCCCCATATGACAGGTAGGTAAAAATGGCCCCAATAATCAAATTCTGAATTAAAACTGATTTTCTTGAGTCATTATATGCATTTCTTTATCTTTTAATTTAGTTTTTAAAAGGAATCTCCCCAATAATCAAATTCTGTATTAAAACTGATTTTCTTGAGTCAATATATTTATTTTTTATCTTAAATAATTTAGTTTTCAGAATCTAACATCAAACAAATTGCCATTTACATTTTACTTTTTGCAAGAATTAATATTCAATGATAAAATATTCAAAGATAAATAAAAAGCCATGTCTTACACTTTTTATTTTTTTTCCATTTAAATGTTAAAAAATAGCAACAACATAATCAATAAATCAACATAAATCATGCATTTATTAATACTAAAATAATTTACTTGTGGCCGATTTCACGAAAGCGGAATCATAATTTTCCAGAAATTCAATTTGTGTATTGGTAAACCCCACAAACAGTGGGTTAGTATGAACATCAAATTATTATTATTTTTTTTTTTTTAAGAAAAAGAGAGTTCTACAATCATAATTATATGGTTTAGATGGAGTTTGCAGTGTGTTTAGAGCTTTGTGGTGTATTTGCAAGTATTTTTTCATAAAAAATCTACCAAAAAACCAAAAAATAGTTATGAATGTATTTAACTTTGGAAACTAAGATCATTTTAGATACTATTTCTGTATAAACTATTTTTTTTTTTTCATATTACTGTAAACCTAATGGGTTTTGATAAATTTATTCTGCACTACGGAATTTCCAATAAAAAATAGAAAATAAATTAAAAAGACCATAGATTAAAAATAAGTATAAGGCGTAACATATTTTTAATCTATGTTAAAGCATAACTATTTTTACATAATGAAATTTAGTAAATCAAATTATTATTTGTGGCTTTTATTTATTAAATCAATTAAGAACATAATCTCAAAACAAAATTTAATGACAAGAAAGATCAACGTTTCGGGTCCATCATGGAACCACTCTCAAGATCAAGTAAATTGAAAAAACTAAAAACAAAAATACCAAGTAGAGACAGGAAGTAAGTAATTAATTTACATATCAATAGGGTCTACTGTGTGGAGCCACAGTAGAGCTAAGCAATAATTAGCCCTTCTTAGCAGATTAACTAGATAAACAGTTTGGCTTTGACTGAATCAGTTTGTTTGTTAAGTGTAGGTTTTTATGTTGATTTATTAATTACATTTTTGCTACAGGGTATTTTACAGCATTTATTTATTTATTTATTATTAATTTTTTTTCTTGAATTTTATAATTGAGGGCCATTTTTTATTTCTTGATTCAATTCTTGCTTATACAGTATTTAAATATTTGAAGATTAAAAAAAAATATATCATTTCTATTACCAAATTTTTCATTGGGGCCATTTTTATCTACCTGTCATATGAGGCCATTTTTACCGGAGCCATTTTTTCCAGGGCCATTTTTTCCAGGGCCATTTTTTTCCAGGGCCATTTTTTCCGGGCAATTCTTACCTACATTCCTTTTTTATATTTATCTCATGACCCATCCCATCATTCCTCCATACTGGATTTATTGTTCTTCAAGGTTAACTGCTAGACGATAACACAGTGTCTATGCCCCCCCCCCACCCCCCCCCCCAGACAAAATAAAACAACATAATGTCATCCCCTTTGCTTGAAAAACCTAGATTAGGCAAATAACAATTGAAGTCCTGAAATCTAAACAAATTTTAAAGAGAAACAGGAAACATTCCACGAATATCAGTTGGGAACACTGCCTACTTAAGTCCTGGAACATCCAATGAGAAACAAGCATTAACAGCTTTGAAAGTTAAGGGCGACTGTAGCTGTAGAAATGCTTTTAAAATGAACACATAAAAGTTTATAATTATTGGTTTAGGTCAAGGAGAATAGGAATTTGATAAATTAGACTGGAGTATTAACAAGCATCTTGCCAAGTACAAAATGAATGTTTCTTGAATTAATTAACACTGTACCGGTGTAAAACCACTTAATTTTATACAACAAACATTCATAATTTATCAAGGATTTCTACAAACCTAATTTAGAATTGGAGGCCAGACAAAAATGCATTTAAATAATTGAAATTCAGATGTTTTAAAGCCAACTTGACCTTCCAGAGTTTATGTACAACTGTGTTTCATTTACATTAGAATGTACAGTACTGTATTTTAATCAGTTATTTTGGTAAAACTAGTACTTTTGAAACATCTGTGTGATGTTAGACTATCTCACCATGTACCTATTAATAAATTCCATGATCTGACCATGAGTATTCACTGGATAATAATGAAAGATTGAACATCCTTTAAATTCTATTTTAATCTGTTTTTATTCTCACTATCAATTATTATGAATATGTGTATGGGAAGTGATATTTAGGAATCAGGTTCGGCAGGTTGTAGTCAGCAGGGTGCCTGAATCTATTCAACTAAAAAATAGAATGCTCGCTGCATGGTGCAAGCTCAAATCACCAACTTTACAACACCTTTCACAAACGATCCAATTACTGCTGATGTCTGCACACAGCACTCTTATTGCTTGTCACAGACAATATCACACCATAGAGATCACACACAATGTTCATAGCACTTATGCTACAGCTCGACTCTCTTGTTATTATTATTAAAGTCATTAACTTAATGTAAGCTATAATATTCATCCTTGCATGACTACTAAAAATGTCCCAAGCTCTCTATCTATTGGCAGTATGTGGCACATACACTTTTTTTTTAAATAAGAACACATGAGGCTGAAATCAATCTAAAAAATAAGAACAAATTGAGGCTGAGGTAATTGTCAAATGATATTTTTATTTAAAAAAGAAAAGAAAAACCAACAAATATTATCTGTACCTATAATGTGCATTAGGTGTGACTATTGAGTTGGCCTTTTCCTGTCGTCTTTAGAGCAAAGTGCATAAGAATTTTCAGTAAAATAGGTAGCGCATGCATCTCATGACTTGAAGAAGCTGTAGCACCACCATGTTTGGTATGCAAGTGAGCCCCCAGAGCTATGATATCCCACTAGCAAGAGGCCTCAGCCCTTATACAGTGCCCTGGGATATAGTATTTATCAGCATTTTTTCCCTCTAACATCGGCCTACAGTAGCACTAACATGAAAAAAACATTAAAATACATTCTTAAAACTTCAAATACGCTGAAGCGAGCAGGGCCTCCACCTCCAGGGTAGTAGGTGCTCGTAAAAATCTTTGTTACGTCACTTAAACTGCTCTACTGTACTTTTATACTACCTTGGTTTACTGATATGCATTTTGTTGTCTGTATATTTTTTCAGGATACTGATATCCTTGAGCTTTTCTGGGAACCAATCACTATAGACCTACTTTGTATAGAGAATTGGCACAAGCTTTAAACCAAAAGGAAAGTTGCATACACTGTAAAAAGGCATAATTTGATTCTTTAATGCACTTGTCAATTATATCCCGGCCTCCCCCCCCCCCGGACCCGGGCCATAGCGGGGCACTTGCCGGGACAGAGCCGGGGATGTACACATAGTTGTGTCCCTGTAGTGCCGGGATGTACCTAAAATTTACCCGTAGATGTAACAGGCCTCGAAAGGGCCGGGAATTTTACACGTAGAGTAGCCGAGGTTTCGGGTGTGTAGGTTTAGCCTAGCCTAGCGCTCTTAAACCGGGTCTGGTCCTTCTAGCCTACACTGTCATGGCATTCAGTCAACACTGTCTGTTTTGACAATAAAAAAATCGCCTACCGGTACTTAGGTCTACCATCATGGTTTCATTTTTTATAGATCACGGTATTAATTACATAATAAAAATTGAACCTCGCCAACCTCACAACGCTGAGGACCGAGGTGGCGGCGCGTGTGAGTAGTGTGTTGCGCCAAAAATATGCCAGTATGTGAGCCAAGGCAAGGAAACCTGTTTCTACTATTGTAATGTACGTATTCATTTTCTTATTTAGGCCTAATTTCTGTTTTGATATTGAATAATTAAATTATATCAATCAGTTATTATTCAATCAATCATTTTCTTTTTCTATGATCAATTTGTCTCCTTTTTGTTCGCACTTTTCCAAACTTCCATGCTGCATAGTGATACGCATGCGTAGTGCTTCCATCAAGCAAGCTCATCTACTTGGCCTAGCTCCTGCCTAGCTCCCACGTGCTTCTCCGACTTAGACGTAGACTAGATTTTTATACCGCCTTGCATCAAGTAGGTCTTATCATCCAATCATTTATTAGCGGGGCATTTTACCTGGACTACGGCGGTAAGTGGCGGGGACTTAGAAGGGGGATACATTAAAACGATGCCTGCACTCCTGGGAGGTGGCGGGACTTTTACATGCATGTAACAGTTTTGAAAATTACATTCCCGGCTAAGTCCCCGCCAGGCCCGGGTCCGGGGTGGCTGGGACTGCAATTGACAAGTGCATAATAACACTGCAAAATGGAAATACATCATGTGACCAAACAGCTTCTTATTTAAATACTGGTAAAAGTTTTTGACCTACCTGATATGACAATGCAGGTGTCTTGGGCTCTCCTTCGCATGGTCTTATAAGCAGCATCAGCAATGGCAAATATATGGGGTGGTCGCTCATAAATTTCTCTTCCCTTGTAATTATCGACTGTGTCTTGTCCATACATATCCACGTTCCTGTATGGGTTCACAGACACCACCACTTCTCCTATGTAGGTGTATATTTTGCCTTTTTGGAATCTGAGTACAAGATATAATATCAGTCAATTATAAAGTAAGAATGTATTTTTTTACAGCACGTAGCACTTACATATCAGGGGCAGATCCACATTTTATGTAATGGGGAGGTGGGGGGGGGGAAGGGAGCACAACATTTTTTTTAGATAAGTAATAATAATAATAATAATAATGATAAGAACACCCAAATATAATATATTTATATTATATAGTGCCAATTCCTGAGCATTATTTCCCCTATTTTTACTGGATAGCACACTATGACAAAGCAGCACAAAGTGCAACCTTCTCTGCTCCCTGGAAGGTAAACATAGTCATGCACTACTTGTTCATGCTAGCGGCTGTTTGGCGCAGCGGTTTAAGTTCGGACTTCCAATCGTAAGGTCGGGGTTTCGAGTCTCTGCTGTGCAGATTCGCTTGTGTCCTTGGGCAAGGCACTTTAGCTACATTGCTTCAGTCCACCCAGCTGTATCAATGGGTACCAGCAATCTGCTGGGGACTAACCTGCGATGGACTAGTGTCCCGTCCAGGGGGAGTACAACTCTCATCCGCTTCACACTACAGAAACTGGGGATAAGCTCCAACCCTGTGAGTCCCAGTGGCTCGGAAAGGATTTAGTAGTTAGTTAGTTACTTGTTTATGCTACATCCTACCAGGTACCCATTTATACTCCGGGATAGAAAGAGACATAGATAAGTGCCTTGCTCAAGCAACTGGCACAGTGAGAGTTTTAAACCCCTAACCTTAAGGTTAGGAGTCTAAGCCACTACCGACGTACCAACCGCTTCTCCATGTACGTAGCGATTATTTCAATACATAAAATTGATATGCATTGAAATTTAAAAGTTTATGAACAAAACAAGGGGGGCATGTGGCTCCTGTGCCCCAAACTGGATCCGCCCCTGCATGAGGCTTGCCATCCGAAAACCAGTGTACTGTTGCTACAACAAGTTAAACTGAGTAATTGGCAATGTGTCAGTATATTGTTAGTACAGAGAAGCTGTAATACAGCTAAACTTTGGCAAAATTAAGTCATTTCCAGAAATAACCTAGCATTTTAAAGCTTTTATAGAAAAAAGTGAATAAAAAGCCAACTTTTTTGTTTTGGTGATGCTGGTTTTGGCATAGCAAGTCCCAAATGGAAAACAAAACCATGTTTGTTCTTGAAGCTTAATTGAAAAACAAGTATATAGAAAGAGAAATTAATATCTAAACTAAGAATCTATCCTGATATGAATTTACACACAAAAATATAATCAGTGCATGTTGCTGTGAATATATATATGTGAGAATATCGGAAGGTTACAAGGGTATTGATTTCAAATCTAATAAAACAAGCTTCTGGGTGGTCTGTTTTAATATATGGTAACTTAACAGTTGTCTTGTTAATGAATATGTTATTACTGTCACTTATAAATTCCAACTTAAGTGTAATTATACTTTAACGATCACTAATTTTTTGTTTAAAATCACTTTAGGCTGGACGGCTTTATGGAATATGAACTTGAATTGTAAAAATATCAAATGCATGTTTGTTCTTGAGGCGAGTTTTTTTATACAGTACCTTGTTTAGCAAGCCTGCTGCCCACCAATAATGATTTTGAATAAAAACAAAATTTTATTTTCGCCAATTAGCGCAACTACCGCCACGAATAAATAAAAATTTCAGAAAAAAAATTTTTCTTTATTTTTATTATGCCCACTGCTTCCTTGAAATCTCCAAAATTAAAACATGTATATATTTTCCTAATTATATAAATTTAAAGCATGAAACCATCCCATTACTACATAGTTTACATTCAACAATAAAATTTTTATTTTATTTTCCCCTCCATCTGGATTTTTTTTTGGCAAAAACCATTTGCTAAATAATTTTAACTCATCTGACAATTTAAAAAAAAAAGTTTAAGAAACAAGGTATAAAAAAAGTCTTGTCTGAAGGACAAAAATAATGTACGTGAATTTGGAACAAGTAATTTTAATAATCAGTTAAATTGTGATGATTGTTTACAGTAGCAGCAATATAAAACTTCATCGATTTGAAAATTATTCTTCAATGACTCATTGTATATTTGGCAATTAAGGTGAATTGCTATAGTTATCAGTAATTCAATCAATACATTTTACAGTATATCAAGGACACTGTGTATTTTGAATGAAATGGTTGGAGATTTGGAATAGTTGAACATTTCATCAGCAGCTTTGCATAAAAATTGTATACTGCAGTAGTTGTACTGTAGTACAATAGTATTCAAACAATAAATAAATATAAATTGTTGGACTAAACAGTACAGTATGAAAATTGATGGTAGAGCTCTGAAATTAAGTTATACCGTAGCGCACATATCTACAACAGGTCTCCCGATTTGCAGGAGTTCCTGATAATCAATGTCTAACCATAGGGCTATCAAACACCTAGAGGTGCTAAAAGCAACAATGCAATGCAGAGTTGTGTATGTGTACCATCAAAGTGCCACCTTATAGTATGCATATTATAACCATAAAGCCCTCTGACTACTATTTCATTAATCATTATTATTAATAATATTAATAAAATTATTAAATTATCGTAGCCAAAAAGAGGCCAGGCAGTTGAATATCTGATTCTAAAAATAAAGTACAGTACTGAGTACGCTATACTGCAAAGCTCGAGATTCAACATAGCTACTGTATTCAGGGGGGGAGGGGGATGAGGTGGGGGGGTCATTGAAATGATGTTTAGTGCATTGTGACTGGCTGAATCTACCACAACCATCATGTATGTATGGTACACACACGCAGCTCTGCTTGTTTCAAACATCGAATACATTGGAGTTGTGTCTAACATAGTCAGGAACTGCGAGTGTGCAAGCAAAAATTTCTTCGTCACGGAAATAAAAAAAAAAAGCATTTTATTACTATTGTAATATTAATTGCCTCTTTGAAGCTGGTTGGCTATAAATATCATCAAATGCAACAATATACAATAAGATATGTTTAACACTCATTATAGCAGATGTATTGAAGCGGTTTCTCTCACTGCTATGCGCTACCATCATGAAATTAAACCGTTTTCAAGATTCAAGATTATATTTGCTGTGATAGACATTATGGGCTAATATTTGCATATCCTGAAAAATCACTTGGTACAGCGCATAGAGACTTTTTCTATTTTGCATTATTTATATAACTTCAAATAATGTAAAAATAGCAACTGAATATACAAATAAATAGAGGTATATATTGCAAGGCAAGGAATACTTGGGCTACTGCATGATGGTATAAATAGGGCACTTTTAATGTCAGAAATGATAGTTTATATAATTTCAAAGATTTTTATTTCTGTAAAATAGAATTTAATATTTTTACAATCTGTTGGAAATTTTACATAAAGATTTAAAAACAAAGATGAAACAGCTATAAGAAACGTGTACCCAAAAAATGTTTTCTACCCTTTTGGCATAATCTGTAACACTGCTCCAAGACTGAAAATCCTTATCGCAGTAGCGAACACGAACACGCTAACTCGTGGAACAATTCTATGATTGAGCACTCTGAAGGAGGTTCACTTTCCAACAAAGGTCGAAAAGGGAATGACGGTTCGTTTGTTGCGCCCTGGGTCTGACTGTTCCATTTATTTCGTAGGGGTGTTCCGTTTGGGAACAATGGCAATTAGTCGGTTTTATCCAGGTAAGTATTCACGAAATAGACTGTAACAACAGTGCATGCAATTAACTGTCTGTGCATAGAGTTTTACCTATGTTAAAATGGTGTATTGTTTTCATTTTTTTTTATATTATGTTGCATCAAATACTTTAAAATCTACTTGGAATTACACACATTCAAAATGGTATAATTAGTGTTACTTGTCAAATATGTTAAAAATACAGCAGTATAATAAAAACATCAGTCATATACAGTATACCAGTAATATTTTTACATTTTAGTATAATTTATGGTGTGACTGGTTGAGAACTATAGAGTGGCAAGGAACCAGCAAAATATTTACTTACTGTATATTCTACCAAATAATGTATTTTAAGTGTCAGGGCTTGAAATTAACTTTTTTTTCTTGGTAGCACTGCCAAAATTTTCTGGCACCCCCAAAAAAATTTGGTAGCACAAGTAATTATTTTAGTAGCACATATTTCCCCATCCTTTTCACATCCCCTAAGATAATAACCGCTGCGCAATATTTTATTCTTTATATTTCCTAACAAACCCCCACCCACCCACACCTACACTGTCCCCATGGATTATTATGCAAGAAAGAAGACATGAAAGAAAAAGAGAAGAGATTTTTCAAAATTGGAAAAAAAAAACAAGAAAAATAATAAATAAGAAATAACAAAAGGAAGAAAAGAAAAAAAAAGAAAGAAGTAAAATGGTAGAAAGAAAATGACAACGAAAAAACTAAAAGAAAGGTAAGTATCAAAAATGAAATAAGAAAAAGGATGAAACAATATTTTAAAAAAATAGATATTAAAGGGATAGAAAAGAAAAAAGGTGCATGGTAAAAAATTCAACCTAACTGGAAGGAAAGGAAAATTATTTCATGGAAAGTTTCAATTGTTAGGAATATTTCTAAGAAAATTACATATTTATGTTAATTATTAACAGATATACACAATATAAAAAAGAAAAACATGAGCAGTAATAATGTGCTAGCTAAACTGTCTAGTCAATGGACGGCCAAAATCTGCAGTTACTTAAGTGGTATATTAATTATAAAATTATTAATTATTATTACTGAAACATTAATTATATTTTCTGTACACTTTCTTTAAATTTTTCAGTATCTTTCTTCATTTGTGCAGGAAATTTCGAGAAAATAGGTCCGCAGAATCGCATTAACACTGCCGACTTTACTGCAATATTTGCGCGGAAATTGGCAGACTTATTTTTAATATGTGTGGATGGAATTTTTTCTTTATGAGATAACTCTAAATCAATTTACACATAATAATTTCAACCTAAACAGAGTTTTCACCAACATTTCGGGAGCACTGAGATTCCAGCTCTCC